TGCGTGGGGCCTCAAATTGGCCCCTGGCCCTGGTTATTCTTGAAAATACTTCATCTGCAATATCTTTTTGGGCCGTAAATCAATGTACTTATGTTATTATGATGTCATTTTAAGTTTGCACATCTTTATTTATCATTTTTTCAAAATGTACATCTCTTCAGTTCAAACTAGATAAAAAAAAAAAAAAAAAGTTCAAATCTTGTTTTTCATGCCCCAAGAGCAATAATAACACTTGGTAAAAAAAATCCTGACTGAGGCTTTCATAATTCATGCATGAAAGGGTTAACATAACTTGCATGTCTTTGGACTGGAGAAACAATAATGCTAACACAAGGAAAACGTGCAATTTCTACAAAGAAGGGATTTAGAACAGTGCAAACCACCCTGCACACTTTTGTTATTTAGACATTTATGAGTGGTAACAATTTCAGTTATCTCTTTTATTTGAGTCGTAAAAACACAGAAGCATATACAGCATTACATTTTGTAGGAAATCTCAACAAAATGTGTACCCTTTGAGTATATTCTCCTCCTGTATACTCTGGAAAGATCACTACTTTCGTTAGATTGGATCCACATGACCCAGTTTCATCGCAAACAAGTGTTTTATGACATATTTTGTGTTGTGAATGGAACATTTGGAGCATACAGTTTAAGAGTGGAGTATTGGGGTTGCAGATACAAGTAACCTGTGGTTCAGCTTTCTAGGAATTTACAGTAAAAGGGCTTTGTGTGTAAAACAGAGCCATTAGAAAATGACTTCCTGCATGGGCAATTTTATGATTCTGTCTTTCTGAGGTTGTTATTTCTCCTTAAGTAAAGGCAACAGAGTTACAGTAGCTTATGTTAAACCTATTTGGCAAAAAATAACGAGTTGCAATACGAGACTAGAGATGTAATTGATATGTTTTCCATGCACGATAAACTGTGGCCTGCTTTGTTTTGCTTGATTGGAATAACTGTTGTTGTTGTAACCCTAGAAACACTGAGGAGCATAAAGACGTGGATTAGAGAAGAGATGTCCTTTTGGAAAAGTGGCAGAAAACAGACAATTGACTGAAAGGCTGTGGTTGGTTTACTACTGTATATATGAGAGGTTTATGTGGAGGTTTAAAAAAGTGGTATTTCATCCTTAAAACATTGTTTTTGAAATTATCCTTTAATACAAGAACATTTTCAGAGCTCAAAATCAGATCTAAAACATACATCAGATGAAGGAAATACATTTTGAAACTGTGTTTGTTGCTTTTTTGTAAATAGAAGTTGGATGTTTTCCCATTCATTTCAACACAGCTCCCTAGTGGACATTAGAGGAACTGCAGTTGGTCACACTGCAGATCTGGCTAAAACTCTCAAAATGAGGCTTTGACGTCTACAATATCCAACACTTGATAACCAGACAGAGTCCCAGGAACAGGATGGTACAGAGGCAGGAGAAATGGAGGGACATGAGGAGCATGATTTCTCCCAGAAGGCAGTTCTTCCTGGGGTGAGGAAAGGGGACGGCAGGCTGATCTGGAGGAGGGGGGTTTGGAGCCTGGGGCATCTCGCAGTAAACACCTGTCCAGCCCTGGTAGCACTGGCAGGTGAACTTGTGCTTCATGTCCAGGATGTCGTGGTTGTTGAGGTGTCCGCTGACGTGGAAGCGTGGACCTCTGGGTGTTGGGTTTCTGCGGATGTGGAAGAAACGTGGGTTCAGGTGCAGGTAAGCGCCCGAGTCGAGGCTCTTTCGGACGCACCTGCCGTTCTTCTTGCAGAGCGCTTTGCTGCACAGCTTGGCGGCAGAAGTCACGTTGATGACGTAATGTCCCAGCGGACCGTCGATGTACTTCTTCACTGTCAGGCAGTTCCTCTGCAGGAGACCATAGTTAGTAGTGGTCAAATTAGGGACCCATAAACATGTCAGTCTTTCAGTTAGTGTGTACAGACAGAGAGATCTAAATACCGTTTCCACAATCTCAGGTTTCAAACAGGTTTCAAGAGTCTGATGAATGACCATGGAAATGTAACACTCAAGTCAAAAGAAGCACTTCAATTGTTTCATAGTTAGAACATTATAAGTTCTGATCATATGACACATACTTCTACTCCTAGATTTATAGCTGAGTATGTTGTAAACAGGATGTAAAAAATCCACAGACTGAAAACAATCCAGACCACTTTCACACATAAATCAGATGCTTTTTCTTTTGGTTTACTCGAGAGAATAATGATATCAAAAATGACAAGGCCTTGTTTTATGCACAGTGACTGCTATGTATCGTCCTTTAATTCGTAATGACTTGTTTTATGTAAAGTGTGCCATAATATGGAAGCATATAAAAACAATATGCATTTGGTTTAGGGCTTCTCCTTTCTTCTGATTATAATATATTTAAAGCTTTTGGTATTAAAATGAGTGTTGAACTTATTTAACCAAGTATACACCACTTTTATTAGTTTTACTTTGTGCCATTACCTTTGTTCGTGAATACTCTGATGATCCCCAGAGGATGACTCCTGACGCTCCCAAGACAGCGCTCTCCCCGATGGTGTGAATCAGATCGCTCTGAAACACAACGACGCCAGAACACTTTACTCCTTCTCTTCCACTTTTTCATGATCTACAAATGCTCTTGGGACAACGAACATATTGGGAAGGCATCTTTAAGGTACATGAGAGAATACAAAAGTATACTGTACTTCAAGACTATTTAATTATAATATGTATAAAGCAACACCAAGTCTAAACCTGCAATTATCATAATAGAAGTCTTTGTAAAGGGTTTTATGAAACAGAACTGAAAAGCTTACCTCTGAAAGAACAGCAAAGGTGTACGCATAAAAGGGTCTGGAGTAGACAAACACTGGCAACGTGTAGTCGGTACGGGCGATGGACGCGATCCTCATGGCTTCTTTGACTCGATAGTGGACGAACTTGACCGTGTTGGGTGAAGACTTGAGTTCGTAGTCCAGGTAGATGGACGGGTAGAGAGCAGAACTCCCCTTCCAAAGCCACATCAGATGGTCGTTGCGTACGTGCTCCACGTTGGGACATTCGCCGGTGTACCGTTGAGGGTGCGTCTTGTACCCGTAGTTGTAACAATCCGGGAAAAGGTAAAACCCCCAAAGTCCGTCCGGCCTGCGACTTTCCGCTAAGGCTAAGGTCATGTTCATGAAGGACTGCCCGGCCCTCTCAAACCCTTCCTTTGCTTCTTTCTCCACCTTGCTTTCCGGCCAGTTCGGGTGAAGCTTCCGGATCTGTTCCTTGGATCTGTTGCGGTAGATAACCTTGGCGCCCCAGTTTCGCACCCACTGAGGCCTCCAGTTCTCCCAGTCAATGACAGCCAGTCCTCGAAAGTCCTTGTGCGGGATTAGCTTGTCAATATCCGCCCGGGCCTTGCTCAGGTGTTTGGAGACGCTCTGGTTCTGTGGAAGTCCTCCGTTGATAGGGACCCCGGAGTTGGAATAGTATGGGTAGTATCCCAAGTGGCTGTGGTAGAAAATGGTGACGTTTGGTCCGCTTAGGGTTTCGTTAAGGTTTGCTACAATGTCGAAAACACTAAGGTCCAAGTCAACTTTGAATCGAAGGCGGCAGGACTCGGTTGGAGCGTTCCACACGACAACAAAAGGTCGATGAGGGATCAGAGGTGCCCTGGACGGCTTCATTTGGTCACCCTGGATTTGTGGCTTTACTCCAACGCCAACCAACAGGGCCAGAGCCAGGAGACGGAGCCCCATCAACGCCATGGCCCCTTATTCCTCATGGAGCAATTAGTGGTCCTGCACAGGAGAGAAACGGGCATGTTTGGAGAGGAAAGAAACACATTAGGAGCTTCAGTGAGCAGAGATAATCAGCCGGGGCCTGTGAGAATACATGTGAGGGATGATCAGCCAAGTGAATGCTCCAGATTCCACAACACAACAAAACACAAAGCTTCCCTGTTCTCAGCGGGAGCAGGACTGAGACGAAAAGGATGCAGGTTCAAATCCCAAAGTAGTGGATATACTGTGGACATGGAGAGAAATGAGAATAGGCTTTTACTTCTACTTTACTTTTACACATTAAAACGCCACTTAGACACAGTCAAAATGCCCTTCTATGGACTCTAAAGAGAAATTCATTAATAGACTCATTCAATGATTTTAAACATCATCATCAAACCCAACTGCTGCAGCTATTTAGGGTTTCAGAGAGAAATGTGTACTACTAAAGCTTTTAGTCTTAGCAGAGAAGAAGTTGTCTTTCCCAATATAGAAATAGAAGACAACTAGGCATGAAAATTTGGGCACACATGAACGATGTACACAACTCTTAAGACAAACATGTATTCCTTAGCTCATAACAACTGCAATAAGACCGCAAGTACACCACCGTCTGATTAACTGGAAAGCTATTCTTTGTCATCTAACCTTCACCCTTGAGCATTTTAAACATACAGTATACATTATTTTTAAAAGTTGTCTGACAATAGGAACGTTGCATTGTTTCAGAATTGCTCAGATTTTTCTCAGTATTCTGTACTTTTATTCAGGAACCACAACTTCAAAGCTTTGAAAACCCATCTTGTGCAGTTACGAATACTCAAATCCACGGTTGGTCTCTTTGTAGCTCTGCTTTTTATTTTGTCCTCTGTCTTTCCTTTTGAAACTATTCCCTCTGGCTCTTTATGTAAGAGCCCCTTCTAATTGCTCCTGGCGCCTCGTCATATTGAAGCAATTCATTTTCCAGTTTTTCCAAAGTCGGGGAGGGGGGAAAAACATTGTGACCCCGCTCTTGGGAAACATGGCTGCTGAGGTTGCCTCCAAGGACGCCACGGAAAATCTCCCATCATTCCTTTCGTGGGATTGTAACCAAAGCATTTGAGAAAGGAAAACCACGCTTCTCCGATCATTTCAACTTTTCATTCTTCTGATTCTTCTGATGAGGCGCTGGCCTGGAGCTCATGTTCTCTGCTTAGTTTAATGGCACGAGAACTTTATGGTCACAGTAATTTTGGATGTGGATCAGTGAGTAGAAAGCTGGCTGGAGAAGATGGTGAAAGAAGAAGAAGTCATATTCACAAATAAACTGACAAAACGTTTCACTAAAAACATTTAAAAAAGGCTGTAATTCATCAAGTTTCTTCAGTTTAGGAAAGCTTCTCCTGAGGCAAGAACCAGTTTCATAATCCTTCCAGCTCGATGGGTTTTCTGGTGGTATTGATCCAAGACAAACAGAGTGCGGTGAAGCCACTCAGGCTGTCCGCGAAAACCACCAGAAGCCTGGAAACACGGCAACTGTAGACCACAAGAAAAGACCTCCCAATCTGACACAGGAGACTCGGTTTGATGTTTTGTCTCCAACAGATACAACAGAATGTTAAAAAGCAGCTGGACTCAACTAACTGGATCCAGACGAGGACAGGGGGTTAATGGTTTTTAACCACGCCATACTGGTTTGGCTCTGGAGAGTAGGTCTACCAGATTGGAATATTAACTACTGCATGGATTTCCAAGTAATTAAGTTTAGGCAATCCATTGTCTCGAGATGTTATAAGATATAGTATACTTGTTTGCTCCCAAATTCAGAAAATGATTTTGTTGGCATAGCATTGCAAGTGAGTTTAAAATGCAACAAACTTAAAATAAATAGTAAATATATATATATATATATACATGTCAACAGTAGTAAGAAGTGGTTAAAATACAAAAAGTGATGGGAATTATGTCTCTTTGAAGGGAGCCGGATCTCATGGCTCCGTTCCTTTCAAAGAGCCGTTCAAAAGAGCCGTTTTTTTAAAGGGGGCGGGGTTACTAGGTTTATCTGCAAAATAATCACCAGTCATAA